CTTTTACAGAAAAAATTTTAAAAATAAAAACATCATATCACAGTTATATATGCATACCTATATTTATAGTGATAGTTTATAATAGTTAAATTTCAGAAATAGCTCAAATGCCCAAATACCGTCTGCTGATGAATGGATAAAGAAGATACCATTTTTTATTCACTGGAGTACTACTCTGTCATACAGAAGGAGAAGCTTGAGACATTTCTAGGTAAATGGATGCACCTTAAGTCCATACTCTTAAGTGAAATAAATTGGATACATATGTACTACCACATTGTTTCTGTGGTGTGAGAAACTGAAGGATCGAAATATACAAATGACATTGTGAACTAGGAAGAAAATGTTCAAATGGGGATGAGAGCAAGGGAGGGTAAAATGGGAAAAGAAGGAAGGAAAAAGTTTAAAAAATGAGAAAAGAAGGAAAAAGGGAAACAAAACTTTTGTAAATAAGGAGGAGAAGAGAGATGAAGGGAGGGAAGGGGAATAGGAAAAATCAGGATCAAGTTATGTCATATGCAGGTACAAATTTTCTATGATGAGTGTGATCATTATGTATAACTGAAGTGTACCAATAAAAATAATTTTCTCGGAAAAAAAGAATCTCTTGGAGAAGATGCATTTAAACTGTTTACACACACTTTGGGAATGAGATTTTTACATCAACTTTTCCTGTTACTTCAGAGTTTTGGCAGAGGCTTCAAAGGACAAAAATAATACAATCAGTGTTGTACATTCTGGTGTCCTATAGAAAAAATTAGGCCATTTTGGGGTGGCCCCATTCTTCTAGCATCAGTCCTGACCCGCTTTCAGGCTAAGAAGATGCTTGTTTTTTTTTTTTTTAACTGTCCTAAATTGTTTATTGGGTTATGCATTTTACAAACATCACTTATATTATTAGTGGTAACGGTGGAGCTGGAGAGTATTGCGCCTTCTCCAAACTGCACGGGGAGAACCACCAATAGTGTGGTGGAACTTGCGGTCCTTTCCAAAGCCACAACTCTTGCGGCCTATAGATGTTAGCCCACACATCTCTTTGTGCTTATGGACTGGTTTGGTGATCCATTGGGTGTCAGGATTTCTTCTGATGGCTTTGTGGGATGGATCAATAAGGATAACCTCAAAGAATTTGTATGTGGAATCTTCACCAACCCAGTAAGAATTTAGAACTCTCAGAGCCCCACAGTGGTGTCCAGCTCGCTCCTCAGCAACTGACTGAAGGCTTCGCGCAAACTTCAGCTGGTTAACGCCATGATGGACAGGCAGGCTTGCACTAAGGTGCTCCCTTAAGAACTGGACATTTGTGGCCACCGTGGCGCACACGAATCCTGTATATGACATACCCTTGCCTGGCTTTGTGTCCCAGTCTATGAGCTTTGTCCAGCTGGGTGGGGTGGGGAGCCCTGTGGAGCCAGAGAGCAGCAGAAAGCGCATCACATTGGACTGCTTCTTCCTCCACAGTTCCTGGATATACTTGTACACAGCCATCTTGGCTTGCCTGATGGCTGCCGCCAGACACTTACCTTTCTTTCCCCTAGCCTTTTTCTGAGTTCTAGATTTTTTTCTTTTACTTCAACTATTGTCTGATCTTTTTCATCTATTCATGAACAAATATGGATATGTTTTAAAACAAAATACATATGTCTATAAACATAAAAAAAAGACATGGGAGGGGGCAGAATGATATACATTTCTACTTCCTCCAAGAAGGGAAGTGTACAAGGGAGAAAATTCATCTGCTTAACTTTATTTATTTATTTATTTATTTTATGAGCAGAATATATTTATTGAGAGAAAGAAAGCTCCTGTAGAAGAGAGGGACAGGAGGGGGGCCCAAGCGGGTAGTTCTCCGGGAAGCTGTCTCTTCCAGGGACTTTTATAGTGTAAAACCTTGTGAGGCTAAGGTAGAGAGAATGGGAACTCACTTAGGTGGGCAGGAGGTGGGACAAAACTAGGGTCAACCAATGGGATTACAAGCACCATTGCTCAGGTAAAACTGATTAAATCCAGTATCGAATGGGAAAGGGAGTCATGTTCTATAAGGGTTAGTTAAAAGCCTGAACAAGATTACCTAGTACTTTACATTAAAGGCTTTAAAGTCCACAACTTATCTCTTATGCACCTAAATGATA